GGTTATGCTGCTGTAATAAACAACCCCAAATCCCAGTGGCTTAAAACAACAAAGAAGCTTTGCTCACTTATCCACACACTAGGTTAGCAGTGTACTCTGCTCTCTGTAATCACTCAAGGACAAGGCTGACAGCAGCTACCATCTTGAATGCTGCAGAAGGAGACAGATTGTTGTGAGGGGAGGGTTCAAATTGGAAATTAAATGCTGTGGCTCAGTAATGACATTTGTCACATCTGTTTACAACTCGTGTGTCAGAAAGAGTCACATAGGCCTAGGCAACCACGTGGGGTTCAGGAAACACAAGCCTACCATGGGCCCAGAATGACAAAGAACCAGAAGTATTCAGCAAATACAAATAATGACTACCTCAATGGATCTTTAAATTGCCTTGGAACCTTGGATTAAGTAATCAGTTTATTTTAGCCTTTTATAGTTATACTAACACTATTTTTTAAATGACTAAGGTAATATAGAGTTGACCTTTGAACAACACAAGGGTTGGGGTGCTGACCCCCCTGTACAGTTGAAAACCCACATATAACTTTTGATGCACTCAAAACTTAACTGCTAATAGCCTTCTGTTGACCAGAAGCCTTACTAATAGCATAAACAGTCAATTGACACATATTTTGTCTATTAGATACTGTATTCTTACAATAAAGTATATTAGAGAAAAGAAAATGTTATTAGGAAAATCATAAGGAAGAGAAAATACATTTACATTATTTACTGAAAAAATCCAGATATAAGTGGACCTGCACAGTTTAAACCTATGTTGTTCAAGGGCCAACTGTATACATCTTTTTAATATTACATTTTAAATGTTCTTAAATGCCATGGGTTCAAAACAGAAGTACAAATGAATTAAAAGGAATTTGGAATAAAATATACTTGAATATTTTTAAATATGTATTTATATTTTTTAGCTTCTTATATCTTAGTATTAGGCAGGAGAAAATATGATCCAACAGGATCTTATCAGGGCTCTCTAATCTATTATATGGATATACAGATAAAACTGAAAAGTAACTGTAAACATACCATATTACCATTCCTATAAAAANCAGAAGTACAAATGAATTAAAAGGAATTTGGAATAAAATATACTTGAATATTTTTAAATATGTATTTATATTTTTTAGCTTCTTATATCTTAGTATTAGGCAGGAGAAAATATGATCCAACAGGATCTTATCAGGGCTCTCTAATCTATTATATGGATATACAGATAAAACTGAAAAGTAACTGTAAACATACCATATTACCATTCCTATAAAAAATACTTCAATGCTGAGGAAGAATTCTGCTAGTTAAAATGGAAACTTTATAAGAAACAAATAAAACATATTCATCTTCCAGATATATAACAGAATTGCTTATACATGCCTTTGATATTCCTCTTTTACATTCTATCTCAATAGTTCAAATACCCAATACCCAATGGCATTTCGGTGAATTTGTTATAGTTAATAGTTCCACATCCGCATATAGCCATAGCCCTTGCAGACAAAGTTGAGATTTCTGTAAGTGAAGTGGCTAATGAATACATGTGTGGGTTTTCTTTTTTCACTCATAGGTTCGAATTCAAGGGCTGACAGGGAATGTTCAGTTTGACCACTATGGACGCAGAGTCAATTACACAATGGATGTGTTTGAGCTAAAGAGCACAGGACCTAGAAAGGTGAGCCACAATTGAACTGAAAAATAAAATTCTCTGTTTTTTTAGTTTACACTTGACATTTTTAAAGCCTTATAGAAGAAAGATAGCTGGATATTCTACATTTTTTTTAATGTGAGTACTAACAAATACCTTCTTATACATACTTTCTTGATAATTGATGCTGAGATAAATTCTTATATCATATAATTGATATTTAGTGGCATGGCAAAGCTGAAACAAACTAACTTATACACTGTTTATAACCTTTATCCAAAATGGAAGCAATATTTGGGAAGTGGGGAAGCTTAGCAAAAAGAATCCCACAAAACAAAATTTACTCTGCAGGACAGAACACAACACAATAAAGAGATATATGCACCTCCGTGTAGTCATTTCGTTAGAGACAGTATGAAGAAAACTACTACTAATACTTCTAATGGGTGGGCGTATTTAGAACAGGCTGGATGTTCGTGAAGTAAGCAGGTAGACAAAGTCAAATGAGCAGAGGAGAAAACAGATGGAAGATAAGATTATTTTTAGGCTGAGGAGGGACAGAAATACTTAAGTTGTTCAGGTGGGTGTTGGTGCCAGATTTTTGGGTTTGGAAAGGTAACTCTGCTGGTCTAAGGTGTGACTAGGCATATCAATGATCTTCCTAATACCCAAAAGTGCTTTATCCAGTGGAACCATATAAACCCGCCATTATTGATTATAAATGTTTTATAGCTAATACATATAATATATATTTTTTTCCTTTTTTGTCTTTTTTCGTGACCGGCAACGGATTGCAACCCTCAGTGTCACGCCCGCACCGGACTGGGACCGGCAACGGGATCGCAACCTTCGGTGTTGCGCCTGCGCCTCGCTCAGCCAGTGAGCGGCTGGTCTGTATGTGGGATCCAAACCCTCGGCGGGAGCGCCGCCACGCTCCCAAGCGGCGCACTGTAGCAGTGTGCCACCGGGCCAGCCCATACATATAATTTTTAACATTCCTTTTTCCTAGGGTTAGCTAGGATGCTAAAGGGAACAGGTGTTCAAGTTAACTTGAGTTATCCAAAAACTCTATTTATTTCAACTCTTTGATCTTTAAAAGAACTTGCCAAAATCCAGCTTTAATGTAATAATGAAAGCTACAATTTGTAAAATGCCTGCTATGTCCCAAGCAAAGACCTGGTACTTTGCATAATTTAATTCTCACAACAAACCTATAATTTGAGTATTATTATCTCCCAAATGAGAAAGTTATAGCCCAATAAGTTATGGTTATTTGTCTAAAGCCTGTAAGTGAAAAAACAAAGATTAATTCTGATATGTCTGGCTCTATAACCTTCCTATATCATGTCTTGCTTGAGTAGACACTGATCTAGAGTTTGCTTTTTAATAGGGTGGGATATAGTGAGTTCTATATGATAGTTAAAGAGAAGGCACGTGGAATTTTTAATGAAGATGAGATAATTGCCGGGTGGAGGGAAACAAATCTAGGAAGGCTGCATGGAACAGGTGGGATGTAAAGTTAGGCATGAAGTCAGAGTTTGGATAGGTAGAAATGGAAGAGACAACAATCTGAGGAGAAGCTTGGAGGCAGGACTGTTAAGGTCATATATGGAAAATGGCAAAGGCTTTCTGTGTTGTGTTTTGCTCCAGTCTATCATGTGGGTGTTCTTCTGTATCTGTGTGAAAAGGAGAAATTTGGAGTTGTCATGAAAATCACCTCCAGCTTTACAGCCTCTTAGTGGCATTTCCTTGCGTGCAGGCTGCCAACTAATAGACAATAGGCATGAGCTTACCTGAAACAGATTAGGTAGGGCAGGAGATGAATAACAGTTGCACCACCACAACAGGCTTCTCTAAGGACACCTCCCAAAGCAAGGGAAGGAGGTGTACTCCCAGGAAAAAATTCAGGGGGTTCCATGTAAACTCTGGCTTTCCCCACTCTGCCGGTACACAGCCAGCAACAAGAAGGAAAGAGGCCCTTTATAAGCAAAGTCCCTCTGCTAGCTGTGGAGCAGAGTACTCCACAGGCCCTTAAAAACATCAGCTGACAGGTGGGCAGAGGTTAGACAGGCACACCTTCCTGCCACACACCAGACCTTGCAAACTCAGCCATTTAAGCAGATGCTTTTTAAAAGGCAAAATACAATTCTTTATTTTACGAAACAATAAGTACAGAAAGTCAAAAGAAAGAATAATGGGAAAAGGAAGCCACTGGTAACAAGCAG